TCTTGCTGTCCCTTTTCCCCTTGGAGCAATGGTGGCTCCTGCTGTTGCTAGCCTCACGGTGGCCTTGCAGTCCTCCTTTGGCATCTTGTCTCTGCCATCACCTAAGCGACCAACGTCCCAGATGAAGCTCTGAGATTCTTAGATGGGTTTGCTTACTTGAATGCACCCTGACTGAATGAGTAATGAGTTATGTTTGAGAGAAGTCTGAAAGTCTCAGCTTCAGATATTTAATAGCACCATCACTCTACAAGGGGGGACTTCAAGAAGTTCATAGAAAATGTCCATGATCTTTTTCTTCCGTTTTTAGAGACGCTTTCAAACTTCCCTTGTGAAGACCAAAGTCCCAGAGACATAGACACAGGCTCTGAAGTAAGCATCGACTCAATGGCAACGAGTCTGGTGTTTGAGTTTAGATATTCAAACAGTACTGAAATCACAAGGTCATGTCTCCCAAGAGGAGTGAGTTTAAACTGAACATTTTAAACTTGGCCTAATCTCTGACATGTCCATTTTTTTCTTGAATGAGGTAAAGAACAAACTTGAAAAGAAACAGCTTAGAAGTAGAAAGCACAGGAGAGGATTACCACAGAAGCCAAAGGAAAATCAAAGTGCTAAAGGGAAGAGAATTATATGGTGTCCCCTATGGTAGACATGGCCAAGAAAATGATCAATAAAATCATACACTTTCCTGCTACTCTGCAAGCACATCCTGGCTGCCTTGCTGGGACCATTAGACCATAGTGGTGACGCAGAAACAAGAGGACAGTGGATGAAGGCACAGATGTGATTTTGAGGTCAAAGCTGTCAGGAAATGTAAGCTTAACTTTTTTAGGATGTTGAGCACTGAGGACCGAGAAAGAGTAGTATATATTGATGGTAAAGACTGAGGATATGAAAGGAGTAGATGTCTGAAGATCTGAAAAAAAGGAATTCAAAGAGTGGAGTAGTACTCACTTTCTAAAAGAAGAGAAAGATAATGAAGCGTTTCAAGATATAGAGTAGCCCTCTGCCACTCATCCAGCAATCCATCACACGGTGACTATGATGTTGGAAGCTGTGCTAGTAGTATTTTTAAAATACCAAGAAAGTCACCCATGGTGAACACAGATTTCATCAGAGCTTGCAGATGCTGACTTGGAAGAAAGACTTGACAACATACTTCCAAAAATTAGGCAATGAACACTTGATGGATCCCAGTGGAATAGTGTCTGCTGTAGCGGAGGATGTGCTCATGGGTTGGAAGGACTGAGCACACTGAAGATAACGAAGATGGCACCAGACCAGGCAGTGTTTTGTACATGCTGTACCTGGGGTTGTCAGGTGTGGTATCTGTCCCAATGGGAATAAACAATACTGCTGTAAAATCAAAAGTATGCCTCAATTTTCTTTCCCTTACCTACTCATAAATCAAAACCAAACTCACTAACATCAAGTGATTGTGACTCTTCATAACCCCATAGGACAAAGTAGAACTGCACCTATGGGTTTCTGAGACAGGACATATTGATGGGAGCAGAATGCCTCCTCTTTCTTCCACAAAGTACCTTTTTTTTGAACAGGTGACCTTGTTGGCAGCCCAACTCTTGACCCACCACACTACCCAGGCTGCTTTGCCTGCACATAGCTCCTCTCGAATGTAGAATGAAGTCAGAGAAGACATCACACAGCCCTTTTAGGCAAGTCATACCCCAGAGACTGGGCATTAACTTTTCTCCAGATGTCTCTAGCCAGGCATGAAAGGCCATTTTAAATGATGGATACCAGTATCTTGAGAAATATATTCATGAAATTACCTTTTCTAAAAATGCCCACTTGCTATACATAACTGACCTCCTCGTAGTCATCCCCTTTACTATTATGATGGGTATGCTGCCTGAAACTATAGAGAAGAAAACTAATTTCATACATTGTTCTTATACACTGTAGGAAGTACAGGAATGGTAGAGTTGTTTGTTGAGAACTTCTAGATTGTCCCCAAACTTTAGAACTTTGGATACTCTAAAACTTACAATTATATGAGGGGCTCCCCCCCCAAAAAAATTGGAAAAAAGCTCCACTGGGTAGTGCTTTTGTAGTACCCATTTTTCCCCATCAGGTGAGCATTGAGAAATTTGCTGTGAGCTAGTGCACCCAGTGGCATCACCTGGGAAGTTTCTCTCTGGTCACAGTAATTTTTTCATCAAATCAGTCTTCCTCAAACTTCCATTTTCAGGATAGCCGATTTTAGAAAACAGTGTTCAGCTGTGAAAATTTTTTTTCCAATGTGGAAAAATGCCACAGAAATTGTTGTGATGTTGAACACAGCTTACAAGGATCATGCTATGGGGAAAACTCCAGTGTATTGAGTGTTTTTCTCATTTCAAAAAGGGTGAAATATTGATTGATGACAAATCGCATTCTGGACGTCCGTCCGTGAACTGCCTGAACAGATGAAAATGTCGACTCAGTGCATTTGGAGTTCATTCCACCAGGTCAGACTGAAAAGTTTGCACAGCATAAAGTGTGCAACAAAAATGGCCTGGTTTGTGGCAGGCATGATGTTTTTGCCACCACGACAATGCACCGGATCACACAGCCATCTCGGTGTGCCAGTTTTTTGCAACACAGTATGACACTCTTGCCCCACTCACCTGACCTTGCTCCTTGTGACTTCTTTTTGTTTCTGCGAATGAAGAGGGACATGAAAGGACAGTGATTTGAAGACATAGAAGTGAAGAAAAAAATGAGGAGGTGCTGTCAGCCATCATATATAAGTTTGAAAAATGTTTCGAAGAACAGAATCGCAGATTTGACAAATGTATTAAGTGAAATGGAGAGTACTTTGAAGGTGATAAGGCTGTTATGTAAAAAATAATAATTACATAGCCTTGGGGTAAAAAATTCCAGTTTTATTAGGGTACCCCCTTATATGTTCAAGTGTCAAGTAGCACACTAAAGGAAATGTATAATTTCATAAATATATTCTCTTTAGTTGATGAGGAGAAATGAGTGCTTTGAAAGAAATGGAATACTCAAGGAAACAGATCATTAACAAGAACAACAGGTAAGTTATGTAGGACTTCATGGCTAAACCTTAACCATTTTCCCTTATTTGCTCCTCATAGTACAAGCCTATGGCATAAATTATATTGTTCAACACCAGACTCTTGTAGATGGAAAGCAAAACCTAAAACTTTGCCTTTTCTTCCCTAAATTTATCTCTAAAGAAAAAACTCACACAAAAAAATAATTTTGAAGTGTCTTTTAATGCACACACACAAAAAGAACATCCCAGAAACAGAACAGGTGTTGACTCAATAAGGATAAAGCCGAATATAAAGCAGCCCCTTCCCCCCTTAGTGATGGGAATATGGTGTAAACAGATGTGGAAGGAGATGAACACTTCAGGATGAAATGTGTACCCCAAAGTTGTATACAACATTCATATATGGCTTATTATCTCATAGCAATTATAGTTTCATAACCATGTATACGACATTTATACTTATTGGTAAGATGCTTCGGATGCAAACGTTGTAAGAGAAATGTCAAAGAGGTAGTTTTTCCGATGCAAGGTGAGAAAAAGAAGCTTTGACCTTGCTCTGATGTTTCCCCCCCCTCAAAATCTGCAACCATTTCCAGGCCATTCTAATTTTCTCATGAATCAGATAGAAGACAACGATTCTTTCCAAAACAAGACATCAGTGCACAATCTTCTGAAGGAAGGGATGGATTCCCCCAAACACCAGGAAGCCTTTGAACTCTCCCTCTCTCTCTCAGTCTTGGAAGAAAACCGATTCTGACTCAATGAAGATGTGTGGCGGTCTGCCAACGGTGGTGGGAATTCAACCAATTTGCTCCTCAAATTCTCTGCACCATTTTGTGGTGTTAACTGCTAACGTGGTACAAGAATATCGATAGAGACCCCATCCTTGCAAATCAGGGACTACTCCAATTTTTTTTTAATGTTAAAAAGAATAAGGAAACGAGAAAAGAATCATCCAGGGGACCAGTGAACTTGCGTGATGAGTACGGTAAGTGATGGTGAGCATTTCTGTCCTATTTCCTAAAGCCATCACATCTTCCACCTAAAGGGGGCTGGGCTTGTGGCTGCCCCGTGCCACGGGCTGCTGCCGTCTTGGTCCAGGGAGACGAAGAGCGGGGAAAATAGGTCTGGAGATATTCGAAATTCTCTGACACAGGTCATTTGATTATATGTACAAACTAGCTTATCCTATTCTTACAATAAGAAAGAAGCCCGCTCCCATCCCATCCCATCCCACCCCACCCCCCAAAAGGGTCAAGGGCAGGCAAAACACTTGTCAGTTAACGAAACTAGAACAGTCATTGGACGATGGTGAGGGCCCACAAGCAACAAAGGGATACAGTATTACCCAGGTAGGCCTTGTGACCCATGGGAAAGCATAAATATACAGTCCAGAAGAGGCCGACTATGTACACGGGAGAGCGGGTGCCTCTCGCCAGCCTGGAAGCAGTTTGAAGGGGCTCTCTGCGGGGATCAGCTCATGGGGGGTGACAAGCAGCAGGCGTCCACGTCCGCTGATCCTTGAAAACGCACAACGTGAGGAATGAAGGTCACGAGAGAAACCACATTCCGTCTGCCGCGCTAGCTGCGTCTTTCACAGAAATATGGACACGGCCGGCCGGCGCCCAGGCTGGTCTGCAGGCAAGCAGTCTCACACCTGTCGCCTTCCCCGGGGAGGCGGCCACGGAATCGCTCAGCAGACACAGAACCGAGGCCCGGGCCGGACGCCTGGCCCCCTGCCTCGGGTCCACCGGCCGGCCTCGCAGTCTCGGGTCCAAGGGACCGATGCAGAAGCCAGACCCCAACCCGGCCAGCGGCGCCTCCGGCACAATGTTTCTGGGGACACGGATTTGGGCGAAGCAGCCTGCGGGCTGCCCTGGCCGGGGGCAGGGGGGAAAGCAGCTTAGTGCGGGGTGGCCAACACGAACCCCCAGGCCCCCCCAGTCCGCCGAGCGTGCTCCGGGGTTACTGGTGAGCTCTGTCCGTCGCCAGGAAGACGCTGTGCTGCTCCTGGGCTCGTTCGATCAGCTTTCGCTTCTTCTTCTTGTTCCGCTTCTCCTTCGCTTTCGGGGTTCTCCGGCCTGCGGGGGTGGGAAGGGAGAGAGGAACCCAGAGATGTCAGAGCGGGCGGGCGCCGAAGGCTGCGAGCACGGGGAGGGGCCAGCACGCCCATCTGGAAAACATCACCTACGGAAAAAGCCGCCTCAAAGAGAAAATTGTTCACATTAATTTTGAAGGAATAATAATAATTTGCTAAATTGGATCTGCTGCCTCAAACAGAGACGGATCTTCCTGTTACTGCGAACTGGCACATGTAAAAACCTCCCAGCGGCCTGAACCGTCTTGCAAATACCATGCTGCCACACGAAAACCATGTGCCCTCCTCCTTTGAACAATTCGCCCCTTTACTAGATGGGTGACATCTCTGGGCCCCTCCGCTTGTTACTGGCGTGAAAGAAAATAAGCAAACCATCGACAGTCAAGGCACCGGAAGTTTCTCGCCCCCCTTCTTGGAACCTGATTCCCTCTGTGTTCTCCGCAAGCCGATACACAAAATAACCTATGTGACTATTTCTTTATTTTCTATGAAAATTCACGAGGACAGCATTCATTACGTGGTTTAAGGCTTCTTTCTTATAAAAACCCTCAGCGCAAATTGTTCTTATTAATTGGGAGCAGAGAAAAGGCGTGCTTGTTCTGCGGAACTGGTAGCCTGAACTTGACCAAATCATCCCACAAAGTTGCCCTGTTTCTCTGCTCCGCTCTCGTGGGAGGAAACCCAGACCCACAGGTAGACAGCTGAGGAGTTTGGGCATGCAATTGTTTGTTTTGCTGCAGCTCATTCTTACCTGCCACTATGCCTGGGGATGATTTACAGTCTCACTTCCTAAGCCCTCCATATTGTTTGCAAGTACGTAACCGGGGACGTCCACAAGGTCATGGAAAAATCCCATCACCTTTTCATGCCATTTTCCTACACATCTTTGGAAGTCTCCAGGTAAGATTTGAAAACCAAAGATCCTATGTCATTTGTTTTAGACCGTTCATCCTCTTAAGGTTCTACAAAGAAAGCAGTCGTAAAACTGTAGCATCCAGAAGGGCTTAAAAGACAGTTGCATTTGAGAGAAGGCAAGTCACCACCTTCAGCATGAACACAAGGAGCAGCCTGGGCGGCATCCAACCCACGGCTGCTCTTCCTTTCCCGCCGGCCGACTTCGGACTTTACCATGCACTTCTCGGAAACATAAGGGACCCTCTCTGGGAGGTGCGGCCACCAGACACAGTAGCCATCAGTACTATCAATAGCTCATTAGTTTCTAATGCATGCCCACCATCCTTCCCACATTGATCAACTCAGGATCACAGACCCTTTTGTCCTAGGAGCCTAGCTGGCCCCAGCGTTTCAATCAGGCCATGTAGCAGGTGATCGATGCAAGCAATAAAATAGACAAGAGAAGGTTAGTCAAAGATCAATGTCTCAGGTAAGTACATTCACAGAAGCCATAAGGTAGTCAAAAGAGAGAGGTGCTCCTCATTTCTACAGAGCCCTGCTGGCCTGGTGGTTAAAACATGCAGTTGCTAACTGTAAGGGCAGTGGCTCGCGCCTGCTGAGTCGAATAAAGAAGTGGTGACCTGTTTCTATGAAGATTACATCCTTGGAAGCCTTCTGGAGCCAGTTATACTCTATCCTACTGGGTCCCAGTGAGTGGGGGGGGACTCCACAATGGGGTCTCATTTCTGCTTTCACTGATCAAGAAAAAGTCTGTTTCACTTGAGAATGGAAAAGTGTCCCTTAGCCCTCATGTCCCTAGCACAGCGGAGGACACAGAGTCCGTATTCCATAAAAGTTTGCTGAGTGAAATCGTTATCATACGCATACACACGCACACAAGACAGAAAAGGAGTAACTTATTTTTAATAAGACATGACATTAAAATAATGAGAACATGATCATGCCCTCATATTAAGTTATAAAGGTCCTTGAAGTGAAGTTCTGTTTTTCATTAAATTCTGGCATTAATGTTATAATGGCATTTTGCCATCTTTAAGCCTAGTTAATCCTACCCAATGAAATCTTAGTCCAAGCCACCATTAATCAAAGCAACTATAAAGTAACAAGTCTTTAGAAACATTGTATCTAGTGATGAGACACGCCTAATAAGGGCAGAGAGTTGAAATGCTTAACAAAATCTACAGTTTTTAAAAATTGCAATTATAAAGTTTTATGAAAAAGTTTTTCTTAGCTCTAAATTAGTTTAAAAATTCTTTGCTGACTGTATATTAGAGATTCACTAGGCTTATATTTAATTTGTTGAAAGTCTGGAGTTTAAAAGCAAATTGAAATTAAGTAAATGGAAAAATAATACTAACATTACTAAATGTTAAAATGTGTTCTACTAAAATGAGAAAATACAGGGTAGGTGTTATTTGAAGAAAGCTTTTCACACGCACGATGTCCATTCTTCATATAAATTATGCTGTTGAAATTTAAATGTATACTACTTCTCACTCAGCAAATCTATTCTAAATGGCTGAAAACACTCATTTTGAGAGAGCAAGTTGGTGTCATTTATCGAACATGTGATTCTGATGTAATTGTCAATATTAAGTGGTCTTTGCGTCTGCTGGTTGACACAACATCGTGTAATAGGCTAGTTACTCAAGACTTTCATGGAACTGGCTGGATTATGGCCAAAAATTCAGCAATACTTCTGAAACCTTACTTACACAAAATACCTTTCCAAATTATAGGGTTATTTCTCTGGCAGTAAGTTATGTGGTATCAGTGCCAACTAGAGATATTTGGGGGGCCTAATTAGACCTTTAAGGCTTTTCCCCAGAAGTGTCTTGGAATGGCATCTCTTTGTTATTGATTGGTTGGTTAGTTGGTTTTGTTTATGATCCATCACAATTCTCATGCAGGAGCTATATCCCAAATACCAGAGCTAAGCTGAGTAGCCAACGTTCAACCATGAACAAGCTTTTATGCACTGCAACCTTTTTGTGTCCATAGTAAGCTGTTTTGACTGTAAGCCACATTCAAAGCAATAACAGAATGGTAAGACTTAAGACATAGAAAAAACCATCGGCATTTTCTTCTCAATATTTTCAAGCTTAATAAGGAATACAATTAAAGCTAGCCATCATACACACACATCCTTGTCCTTATTTGTACATTTAAAAAATATGCATCTATTAGGCATGCCCATTGCCATCAAGTTGAGTGACCCTGCAGAGGATTTCAAAGATGGTCAATCTTGAAAGGATTGGATCATCTCACTTTCTCCTGTGGAGTGACAGGTGGGTTTGAACCACCAACCTTGCAGTTAGCAGCCCTACACCTAAACCACAGTGCCACCAGGGCTCCTCATACTGGGTAAATAAGCATGCAAATGTATGCTTCTACTGAACTTCTTTAGATCTGTGGTTATATGACTGTCAGTTGCCTCTGAGTGGCTTCTGACTCATGGGTGCCCACACGTGCAGAATAGAATTGCTCCATGGGGCTTCCATGGAAACAGACAGACACGCCTTCATCAGGTGCCTCTGGGAGGGTTCCAGCAGGGAACCTTCCAGCTGGTCGTGGAATGCTTAGCCTTTTGTGCCACCCAGGGACTCTTGGTCTTAAGATGAGGTGCGCGGAATGACTTGTAGACTTGCTGACGGTCCCTTGCCCTCAAGCGCATTCATCTGTGCTGGAAGAATTTAAAGGCAGGGCTGGTGCCAGTCACCCAAAAAGAAGTCCAACTCAAAGCTTCAACTTTTTGCTTTGTCGTTCACAGGAGAAGACTGGGAAAATACTCAGAGGTTGCCCAGTAGCAAGAGAAACATATGTTTTGAGTTTGACTCAGAGAGGGTCAACCTCAGACGGGTTCAACTTGAATTACAAGTTCGATAAGTCTTTCTCCTGAGTGCTGTAAGAATACAATTCCCTGGTCAAATACAAAAGCGTGACTCTCTTCAAGATCGGGTAGAAACGGGCCTTCATATTTGGTCCCAGATGCTAAACGGAGGCAAGATGAGAAGTGAACCCGGATGTGGCAGATAGTTTCAAGGACAACAGTGGGGTTTCGTGGAGAAAGTCGTCGTGTGGGAGGACCACCTGGCAGCTAAGTGCCACTGGATCACAGAGATGTCTCTCTGGCTCTACAGTTATAGAATGAAGACGCTGATGTCCTCTCACTAGAAAGTTATAAAATGCCACGTGGAAAGCCGTGTTCCCAGGATGGAAGGAAGATGAGCAAGATGGCATGGGTAAGACAAGAGTCTCATTCAAAGGAAGAAGTCCGCAGGAGACCAACAAAGTCACACTCGAACCAGCATAGTGACACAGACTCACGCACACCTAGAAAGTGTCCAGCAGGGCAACCGACTGTCCCTTCTACAGAGAGAGGAGAATGGTCCCTTGTGGAAACACTTCCAAGGTCCACTGAGGGGCAGTGCTATTAGACTCAGAAATACGGTAGACTATTTTCAGCCCAGATATCAAGCTGGGTTCAAAACTGAAGCTGTGCAAATACTGACTCTGCTGTCAGCCAAAATTCTGATTCTGTTCTTTCCTGTGGTCCCAAATTCAAGGAAGGTCTTCAAAGGTCTATTTCTTTGCTAGCTTAGGTAAGTTGTTGTTGCTATTGCTGCTAGAGGCACCATGATTCTTGTCTAGCTAAGAGTAAGACCTGAAGGCTACCTAGGATTTCAATGATTACGACTGGTTTTAAAAAAGACTTTCTAAGGTTGCATCCAATGCAGTGGGTGGGGGGAGCTGTTATAGTAAAAGAAAGAGTCCCTAAGTCTGTCCCACCACGGTGATCTGTGTCTTGCTACGTGATGCTGGAGGCTATGCCACTGATATCAATTACCAGCAAGGTCACTCCCGGTGCACAGGTCTCAGTGGAGCCTCCAGACTGAGAAAGACTAGAAAGAAAGGCCTAGTGCTCTACTCTAGTATGGTTGTTAGGCGCCATCAGGTTGGTTCCAACTCAGAGTGTCCTTCTGTACGAAAAGGAACGTGCCTGGTCCAGGGCCATGCTCATGTTGTTCCCATTTGTGAGCCTAATGTTGAAGCGACTGTGTCAATCCA